GAATGGGCTAGAAGAGGGTTCACAGGATGGAAGGAAGCAGGGTGTTCCACTAGGATCTGCTTAGTCCCCTGGATATAGGGTCAGAGAGAGAGGAGAGGCCACATCACATAGTCTGCTACAGTGCTGGTGAAGGCACTAAGGGATTGGATATGGAGGTACTGAGGGAGAGTGAAGACCTGAAACTCACCTACCTGTTTCATGGGCCTACTTGCTTTCTGGCAGGGTTAGCTAGAGGTTTCCCATGGAAAGCCTGCTAGAATTGGGGTCTGAGACAAAGGGATGAGTGGGGAGAAGGATTGAGGAAGAAGATCTATGTGGTCCCCTGGAGATGGGGGCAGACAGGGTGGAAATGCCAAAGCTTGTATTCTGTTACAGAGCTGTGCATGCGTCTGAGGGGTTGGATTTGGCGGAAGGGAGAAAGAGGTAGATATCTGTGGTTATCCTACCTGCTTTTCTGGCCTGGGTAAGCAGAGGGTGCCCAGGGAATGCCGACTGGAGATGGAGGCTAGAATAAAGGGATGAATGGGGGAAGGGAAAATTGGAGGAGAAGATCTGTGTGCTATGCTAGAGACAGGGCAGACAGGGAGGGGGCACAGCGAGTGGTCTGCTACAGAGCTAGATGTGTGTGACTTGGGGGTTGGCTTTTGAGTGGTGAAGATCTTCAGTTAGTCTACCTACTTCCCTGGTCTGTGTGGCTAGCAGATTCCCAGGGAATACCTGCTCAGTCATGTCTATTTCAAGATCCACTCGTTGATGACATTTTATGGCTTTAGTCTCATGCCCAGGAGGAAAAGTGAAGATAAGCTGTTTCACAGTGGGCTTTTAGTCTGTCCTCTAATGGGAAAAACATACTTTTAATATTTTAACTTGGGAAACCTTAGCAGCTATGTGCCCGAATCTATTACAATGTTTTGTGTTTGAGGGATCCTCAGCTGTGGGACAGCTGTGCTTCTGGCTCCCTGTTTTCTTACCCGTTTAGTTTCCAGGCCCCTACACTTCTCTTTACCTCTTCTTCCCCAGCAGCTCTTTCCCCACTGCCTTGGTTTGTAGTCCCTTCATTTGCTTCTCTACTCTACCTACGGATTGTATTCAGTGAGAACATCTAGAATCTTTTCCATTACGGCAGACCCTAACCTTTTACCTGCTCTGGGATTCTTAGTCTCAGTGGATCTCATTGCTCTGCATCCTCGTATCAGGGCTCTCATTGGCATTTCTGATGCTCTAAGGCTTGCCTCCTCCATGCTATGTTGCTTGGCTCCTCTATGTATTCATACATGCACGGAGTGATGTGTGTGGTCGGCATTCAGTAAGCAATGAGTAAACGAGAGACACTCCTACCTGGTTAATTTTATCAATACCAGGTCAACTCCTTTAAATTTCCTACTGTTTAAAGTTCTCATCATCACTTCTTTAGCCCTCAGAGATACCTCTTTATTTGACTACAAATTTGGGAACTGTTACATTGGTTATACTACCCACTTGATGTATTCTTCTATTTCTACATCTTTTGATACAATATGTATGTATTTAATATAGAAATACCCACTGCTTCTTAAAGATGAAAACTTTCCTCCCTTTAATAACCAATTCCTTTTTATTCTAATAGTTTTCCATTAGAGTCTTCTCTCATATGATATCTTTTCTGCCTTTTTTTCATGTATTTATCCTTTTTGACAGTATTTCACTATGCAGCCCATGCTGGTTTTGACCTCATAATCCTCCAGCCAAGATTTCTAAGTGCTAGAGTGGCAGACAGGGGCCACCTTCACCTTTTCCCTCTTAAATCTATAATCTCTTCTCCACTCAACCTTCTCAGAAAATGGACTGTTTTTAATTATCTGTGATGTAGTCTTTTCTTTCCCTTCACTGTAAAATAATCTCAGAAACTGGGTGATTTCTCCAAGAAAAGAAATTAGTGTTCTTGGTGCCGGCGAATGGAAGTCTGAAATCAAGGGGTGGTGGTGGATGAAAGTCCCTCTGCTGCATCATCTACTGTGGTGTGCATAACATGGCAAGGTAGTGTGCATGGAAGGATGGGGGCGAGAGTGCTGAGGAGGATGAAGGGGCCTCGCTAGCGGCTCACTCTCCGTGTCACCAATTCCCCCCATGAAACCAGCCTTGATCACTCTTACATGCTCCTCCCAGCATGCCATTGCATTGCCTACTACATGTCAGCATGTGCTCGTTTGCCAAATAGCTTTCTCAGGCCTAAAAATTCAGTCTTTCAGTGCTCATCTTATTTTGTCACATTTTCTTTGGCCACCTAACATAAGAGGTAGCTGCACTTTGTTCTACTTCTCTCAGTCCGCTGATTTCTTTGTTTCTGGATACGTGGCTTCTGCCTCCTTTTCTGTGGAAACCTCTACTTGCTGCCTGCTGATTGTCTCTGGGCAGAATCCAGTCGTCTACCCATCTCACACGGCCTCCTCCCTGTCTAACATGTGCCTCCTCTCAATGAAGATCAGCCCCACTTACCATTTCAACAGGCTGGATATGCTACTTCTGATTAATTTCCTCATCACCTGACCTGGAGTGGATAGGATTTCCCAAACTATTCATTCAGCATCGTAATTCTGGCATGCACAATATCAAATATCACAGTTTCGTGTATATATAGTTTCATCCAGGCCTTCAGTGGATCCTATTTAAATGAATAGCAGTCACATCCTGATAGTCATTTATATCACTTTGAGTCAATTTGTCTCTGTTTCCAAAATCCAATAGATAAGAACAATGGCCATTTTTAATATATTTCACATATTGGTGTTCAGGGATTTGGGAAGGGCTCAGCTGGGTGATAATTCTGTGCTTGTGACATATGCTAAAGGCTCTTAGCGTGTTTCAGGTTTCGTCTCAGCAACTGTGGCTGGAAAGCTGGGTTTCATGGGTTCTAGCCCCCATGCCACCTAACTGGTGTCTCTTCTGAGACAGGTGTGGAGAGTTGGACTTCTGATCTGCTTCCTCGATTCTCTGAGGAATGCATTCTGGATGGCAGGAAGTGGTCCTCATGCTGTAGGGCCTGGCTTGGTAATTAGAAGTTGTGACTTGTGTTGTGTGGCTTGCTGAGCAGTGCCACTATGGAGCAGCCCAGACTCACAGGGTGGAGGGCCCCATCCTGATGGGGTAGGGGTATAAGTTCGACTCCGTGACATGCTGACCAACCATATTCATTAGCTACCCTTTGTCTCTGCTCTTTGCTCATGATGGACAAAGCCTAAAGCCACAGTTTCTTTTATTTTTCTGAACAATTGTGATAACTTGAAGTCAACTTGTTCACCCCTCTGTTATTCTCTCTGCAATTACCTCTCTAGATTGTTTTATTTTTCCCATTTGTTATATATTTCTTCTAGTGTAAATAAACTACAGTAGTTTGTGGCCTCAGAGTTAGAGACCTCACACCTTATTACTATTTACTTTCCATACCATAACCTATACTCCAAGCTCTTCCTCTGCTCTCTTTGTGTTACCTGGTGTCTGTACCAAGTACAGTAAAGCATTCTAGAACAGATGTTTACTGCTACCTCTCGCTTGTTTACCCACTCCTCAAGATGCTTTCTCATCCTCTCCCCTTGGTGTGGAATGACTTTCCAGAAATCCCTATCTTTTGAAATCCTCTTTATCCTTCAATAATGAATTCAAATCTGACTCCTCTGTGAGGCTACCCTTGAACCCTCTAAATGGCAGGGGCACCCTCCCTTCACTCCCAAGGCACTCTGACTTCTTTTAAAGTTAAGAGCTTGGGTTATAGCTCTTTGTACAAGCTTGCCTTAGTGTAGAGTGTGTTTAGTTCATAGTCTTGAAAGCGTCTCTGTTTCTAGCCTCATCCTTCTCTCCACCTGGTATTGCTCAATTTATGTTCTGTTTGATTCACACTTGGTCACAGGTTTTGTAGATAGATCGTCCATAAATTTCTACTGTCATTAGAAAGATTGACAAGAATTGTGAGCCATAACGCTAATCAGATTGTTAGTAGAAGGCAAAGGCTGTAGCCTTATTAAATGGGGTCTTATGGATCATAAAGAGTGATGGAGTAACTGCATGTCAACTCTGTTTGCACAAGCAGGCCAAGACAGACTTACAAGGAAAGCCCCAACAATGATCACAATGATTAATCATCGTTACCTAAGAGGGGTGTGACCGAAGAGAGCTTAAACTTGGATTGTCTCAGATTTAGTTCATTTATTCACATACACCCATACACACACATCCACACCCATACACGTACGATCTATAATATGTACACACACCCATATGCATACACCACACACACATTTCCATACTCATATATTCACAATCTATACTGTACAAATACATAGACATACACATACACCACATACAGACACCCCACAAATATATACAAATACATACTCACACATCCACATATCCATACATATACGCACATCCACAGCCATACACATACATTAAACATACACACGCTGAAAAACATACACACTAATATACATCCACATCCATACCCATAAACAAAAGCTATACTAAACACACAGAAACATTAATACACACATATCTATACTGTACACATATACCCACTCACCACGCACACCCATACATACACCAGTAAACCCATCAGTATGTACACATCCATACCCATACACACACATCCACACCAATATTGCACAATCTGTACTACACATGTGCACACATACATATATATATATATATATATAATTATAATAGATCAATACACACACATCTATACTATACACATACACTCACCCATATACACCCACACCCTTACACACACACACAGCCTTACATGCATACACACACACACACACACACACACACACACACACACACACACACACGACACTCTGAAGCATAATTTACTATCAAACATAAGCTGTTTATGTTCTCTGACATTCCTTGTCTTCACACACTACAAACTTAAAAGTTAGTGAATAGGACTTTTACAACACGCTATCCACCAGGAAATAAAACATGAGCTTATGTTCACAGGACCATTCTCTTGTGTGTTGTAGGTACTTTTCACCCATGAGGAGAAGGTGAGCTTCGTCGAAGACACGTTCCCAGAGTCAGAGACCCCTTGCCCACCATGAAGGGAGCCTGCATCCTTGCATGGCTGTTCTCAAGCCTGGGAGTGTGGAGACTTGCCCGCCCTGAGTTCCAGGAACCTGCCCAGTGCCAGAGAGCTGAGCATCCTGTTGTCTCCTACAAAGGTAAGGAATAAGGCTGTAAGACATAAAGTGAAAGAAGTAAGACCACAATGTAAATTCAAATCCCACATTTAGTGCAAGATAATAGAAGATGGGTGTTCCTTTTTGTTCTGTGACTTCACCTAGTAATTGTTTAAATGAAGACAAAAATAAAGATTCTTCCCCATAAGAATCTCAGGTCTAGAAGTAGTACTTGCTCATGGCGGATCCCCGATGGGGTTGCTATGGAAGGAAACTGTGTTATTGTCCCATCATCATTTAACAGGTGCTGTAGGGCTCCCAGACATTCAACTCAGAGGCTGAAAGTATGGCATCAGCACTGCAGTAAACAGGAGTAAGACAGGAAATTTTTTTTCTAGGTATTTTCTGAAGAAGCCAGGGTCTTGCCATGACAAGCCCTGTGGTCCTCATCTAGTAGCACAATGTGGTAGAATCTGTTATTGTCCGAAGTGTCTTCTCAGTGTAGTAGTTCGTCGTTGATAGGCACTTTCGTTCTTCTATTCTCTACCAAAGTTATGTAAGATCTTTACAGCCTGGACACTTGAACAATCCACAGTGAGGAAAACAAAACACAATAAAAACTATGCCTCTGTCCTCAGCATGCCTCTATTATCAGCCCAAATCAGACATTGAATTTTATTAACTCATTTCAACAGCTTTTCTTTAGGTTTGAAGCTTTGTATCACAGACTTCTTATGTCGATATGAAATATAAACAATCTGAGTCCCAGATTCATCAATTTACATTCTATATCTTTCTCATTTAAATACCTACCCCTGATTTGTCCCACATTTATCAAATTATGTTTATCCAAATTCAGGATGTCGTATAATATCTATGATAGTTCAGTCTGTAGCTGTTAATGAAAAGAACTTCATGATATTATTGTTCTATCAGACATGGAAAATCTCCAAAATAAAATTTTTACTAACACCATGAAGGGCATGGTCTCATGAGGGTGTGAATTCTGTAGGGTCAAACAAGGATCTACCTGAAATCCAAACAGTACAGCTTTATTGGGTAATTCTTGAATGTCTTTAAATCTTTTACTACACTTTTTTATTTCTCATGAAGAAAACATCTTTTAAAGAAATGGAATCACTCGCCCAGTGTGGCATCTGCTCACTGAATCCTGATTGTATCATTCGAGTTTTCCTGTGTCCGTTATAACCCATAATTCCCAGGTTGACATGAGTCCTGATGAGATCTCCACTCACATCCTTTTGACTTCTGTGGACTCTCACTGTGAGGCAGAGTGTCCAGTGGGCAGTGGGCAGTTATTTACAGCCACTGGCTCATGGGAGCAAGCCTGAGCTCTTCTTACTTTATCATCTTTTCTTCATCTCATACTTAGAACAGTTCCATATAAACCACTTCCCTTTGCCTGCTCTCTGAACACCCCTGCAGTGCAGCTGGGAGAGGAAAGCTAAGCCGAGCTCCCCGACCAAGGCCAGCTTTTGTCCTGTTTTGTTTTCACTCCATTTAATGGGTTTCCTGACATCTACCTGTTCATCCATTTGTCATTCCAGGGGATCTGATAAGTTATGTTTTCTTTTCTCTATTGATCATCTTGATATCAATATGTGAATTTTAATACAATGGATAGATTTTAATTCTTTGCTACTTTTTTGACGCTGTAGATGTTAGAATGATGCCCTTTCAGCATAGGAGAGCATCTTGAAGTTGGGTCCTGAGGTCAGTGATAACTTTCAGTCTCTTAGATCAAAGATGATGCTATTCTCTTACCTACTTCCTCATATCACTCTGGGAATGGTGCTTCCTGGCTGCTTGGAGCACTAGCAGTTAGGGCTCTTGTGTGAACAGCACTAAGGAAAACACGTATGAAAATAAACCCTATGAACTCCTGCTATGTCCAGGTCATCTCTAGGCTCCAGGGCCATAACCTCTGCCACTTTATCCTCTGTTTCCTCCTCCTGTGCACAGATCTTTGTGCCTCTGAAGGGAAACACTCATTTCTTTTCCTGTCACATAGTGCATGCCTCACTACTCCATCACTACATGACCCATCGCTCTTAATTACAGTGCATGTCCTCCCACCCCATCATTACAGTGCATGTCCTCCCACCCCATCATCACAGTGCATGTCCTCCCACTGCAACACTACAGTACATGTCCTCCCACTCCATCATTACAGTGCATGTCCTCCCACTCCATCATCACTGTGCATGTCCTCCCACTCCATCATTACAGTGCATGTCCTCCCACTCCATCATCACAGTGCATGTCCCACCACTGCAACATTACAGTGCATGTCCTCCCACTCCATCATTACAGTGCATGTCCTCCCACTCCATCATCACAGTGCATGTCCTCCCACTGCAACATTACAGTGCATGTCCTCCCACTCCATCATCACAGTGCATGTCCTCCCACTCCATCATCACAGTGCATGTCCTCCCACTCCATCATCACAGTGCATGTCCTCCCACTCCATCATTACAGTGCATGTCCTCCCACTCCATCATCACAGTGCATGTCCTCCCACTCCATCATCACAGTGCATGTCCCATCACTGCAACATTACAGTGCATGTCCTCCCACTCCATCATCACAGTGCATGCCCCACCACTCCATCATCACAGTGCATGTCCTCCCACTCCATCATCACAGTGCATGTCCTCCCACCCCATCATTACAGTGCTTGTCCTCCCACTCCATCATCACAGTGCATGACCTCCCACTCCATCATCACAGTGCATGACCTCCCACTCCATCATCACAGTGCATGTCCTCCCACTCCATCATCACAGTGCATGTCCTCCCACTCCATCATTACAGTGCATGTCCTCCCACTCCATCATCATAGTGCATGAACCTCCCACTCCATCATCACAGTGCATGAACCTCCCACTCCATCATTACAGTGCATGCCCCACCACTGCAACATTTCCTCAGTAGCAGCTCTACACAACCCCTACTGGGAGTCATTGAAAACCTTTCAAGATAAATTTTTCTTCTTTTCTTTGGTCTTCAGGGTATGTAGTCCACTGAAGAATTAAAGCCAAATTACCACTGTAAAGTCCTGGAAAGTCATCTCATTTTTTATAGTTATGCCAACAACCCAAACTTGGTTTATTTTAGTTCCTAGATTTTGCTTTTGATTTTTATAGAATTAAAATAAAATCGATGGAGTGAGAGTTGTTCATAGAAATCTATCTTTTGGGTTCCTGCTCTACATTTACATAAAGCCTTACTTATACTTCATGGTTTATTGTTCTTTCATACCTCAAACAAAGATGCATATACATATAGACATAATCAAAGCTAGTGATCTTTCATAAAAGGTGGTGTGTGTACACTTTGGCATAACAGAGTAAACTCTGGTACCAGAATGTGCACATTTACACCAGTGTTCTTGTGGTGCAGCTCTCTACCATGATGTGCTCTAGTCTTATCAAAAATCCTTCACTGAGAGATGCATTGGAAGATTTTCCAAGAACTAGGAATCCTAGGTTAAAGATTAAAAGTGCCTGGGTGGTTTGACTGCACATTTCAGATTCTGCCTGATGAAGGTATCATTGCCTGAGGATCTGTTCCCTGCACCCTTGCCAGCAGAGTATGCTGTTAGGGTTTGCAATTTGAGCCCACCCCACAGTTCACAAATGACATCTCAGAGTATTGTAAATGATCTTTTCCCCTGGGCTAGGCGATCAGTCCATCACTGGGTTACTTCCCCAACTCTAAGTTGCCTATTTTTAGTTTTGGGTGAACATGTAACTAACATTTAATGACTGCCTGTTGCCAACAACATCCATGCTAAATTTTGGTTCAACAGAGGCCAAGGTCCAGTCTCTAGGAACCAAAAGACCTTCCCATAACTCTCTGTTATGTGTCTGCATCATGTGCAGGGAATACAGGGGAGAAACATGGAAGTCAGGTGGTCACATCCCCAGAAACATTTCTGGAAGGTTTTTAGGAAAAACTCATGGCAGAGCTGAGTCCCAGATGGCTGCCAGGAGTTTATGCACCTCAAGAAGGGGAAGATATTCCAAAGAAAGGAAGTGAGCAAGTATTAAGTGCTGAAGTGAAGGTGCATCACAGGTCCTAGCAAACATGGTACAGAATGAGTCACAATGTCCTTTATCTAGGTGGAAGGGAAGGAGAGGAAGTGGCTAAGGCTACCATAGATAGTGAGGGCTTAGATGTGCATGGCATGGCAAGATATCTGAAGATTAACCTCCATTGGGAGGAAGGAAATGTTGTGGTCATCAGGCAAGTTCATTCTGGGGCTGCTGCTGTGATCAAAGGCAGCAAGAATGAGAAACTGGGGTCTAGATGGTAACACAAATATAGGAAATCAGAAGTAGGGGTGGTTCTAGAAAGTGGAGCGAGCTATAGTTGATGATATAATGGATAGAGAACCCGAGAGACTAGGAAGCTTTGTTGATATCTAGGATCTTTGATCTTTACTCCAAATATGGTGAACAAGGGAAGCTGATGTGAGGGACATAATACCTGTGGACTGAGAAGCCTGTGAGCCCCAGAAGGAAGGATCTAGCTGAGAACAAGATACTCTAAATCTCAGTGAGGGATTCTTTTAAAAACAGTGTTGGCCATGAAAGTCTGATAATGCAGTGTTCAAGTTCAGTATGGGCCAGAAGGCAAAGGAGTCACCTTGCTCTGGTTGTCCTGGGTCTTTTTGTGTTGATCATTTGTGCATTTGAAAAGCCAAGCAGTTGAGCTGCATTCCAGCAGTTCTCATAGTGGTGGTTTATCTGGGTATTGCTTTCCTAGGGCTGTTGCAAAATGACCACCAACTGAGTAATTTCCAGATGTCTTCTCTCACAATGTACACTTATACTATCCAGCAGTCCCCTGTGACAATGTGAATGAGGCCGTGCTCTCTCTGATGACTCTAGAGAAGACTTTGTTTCTCATGGTCAGCAGCAGTCCTCCGCGTGCCTTGGTTTGCAGCTGCTTTGTCCAGTCTCCTGGACTACACCCTCTCTACAGTCTCCCTATGTAATTCTCTGTCTTCTCTT